AGGGGGGGCCGACGGCGAGTCTAGAGATGAGAAAGCTGTCCGCAACTTCAGATTTCCCCCACAGCCAGCAAAAATTCTAAATGTTCTAGGAATGAGTGCAGAAACAAGCGTTTCCATGTCATATACAGCCCTGGCCGAGGAGACAAATTAAAGTACAACAAACGGATATCTATCCTTCTTAGAAACAATTTTTCGGCGAACATACGGGCGACTACCAGAGAAGCTAAAGATGGGTGAAATTAAATATCTTCAAGTATTTACACTGGCCACCCAAATTGCAACACCAAAAAAGACAAGAGATATCACAACAAAATTTATTTAGTAGATAAAATGTTGACCAAATATCAAATGACTAAATTTATAGACTTCTGTGAAGTGTGGTTCCTTCCAGAATCAGTAGCCAGAGTAGCCGCCATTGTTGGAGATCACTGCTGCCACACGCCTTGGCATTGATTCAAAGAGACTTTGGTTGTGTTCTTGGGGTACAGCAGACCAAGCAGCCTCCACACGTTGCCAAAGTCGATCTGGTGTGGCAGCTTGGGATGTAATCTGGGTCAATCGTTCAGCAACCATGGACCACATGTTTTCTATCGGCAAAAGATCCGGAGAGCGAGCCGGCCAGGGAAGCAATTCAATCTGGCGATTGACGAAGAACCCTTGGACAATGTGTGCCACGTGTGGTCGCGCATTATCCTGTTGAAATATGGCTATGGGCAAGCCCTGAAGGTAAGGAAGGACAACTGGCTCCAACACCTCGGAGATGTAGCGCTGGCTGTTTAAAGTACCGGCAATGCGTACTAGAGGAGTGCGAGAGTGATATCCAATATCGCCCCATACCATAATACACGGTGCAGGACGAGTGTGGCGGTGCATAACGCAGCTGTTCAGCATCCTCTCTCCAGACTCGAATCCGAAAATCGTGGTGTTGCAGACAAAAGCGTGACTCGTCAGTAAAGACAACTTCATTCCATTCTACCGTCCACATACTTCTTTCATCGCACCATTGGCGGCGGAGATGTCTGTGGTTCTGCGTCAAGGGCAGATGAAGCCATGGACGTCTTGTGGACAGACCACTCTGCTGTAAACGACGTCGAATGGTACGCGCAGACACTGGATGATGCGTTACAGACTGAATGTGCTGTGCTATGGTTCGTGATGTGACTGAGCGATTCGTCACTGCCATGAGCACAATGTTCCTGTCATCACGTGAAGTGGTGCACTGAGGTGGATGGGATCGAACACGTCGGTCCGTCGTACCCTCCTGCATCCAACGGTCACATATCCACATTACAGTTGTTTGGTTTCGTCCAACACGACTACCGATTTCCTGAAAGATAATTGACACTCTCGGTAGACCACTATCCTTCCTCTGTCGAATTCGGATACTTGATCAAACGATGATTGCTATTTACTACGAGACATAACTGATCTTTTTATTTTTTCTGGAAAAAAAAAAAAAAAAAAAAAGAAAAACACAGTTGCCGAACTTGAAATCGTCGAAAACTCCAAGCCTTAAATAGCGCTTTGAAGTGGCGCCCCAGGCAGTTTTTAGTTTATGTCTAAAAGTGCAACAGTTGCTGTCCAGCTTTTGCCTCAAGTGGGATCTTTCAGTTTTGTTATGTACGAAGGAGCTTTTAATTTAATTATACATTTATCGCAATGATTTTAAGTTTAGTCTAAGAACTTAAATTCTGATTTTAGTCCAAGAGACTGGTTTTTGAGGAAGTTCGGTAAAACTTTAGAATATTTTTAAGCAGCTCCTGTACATGTGATGCGAAGTGTAAACTGAGTAGATTTTTCTCAGTGTAAATGTACCGTAAATATTTCGTGATCTATGTTTGATAATTTAGTTTTGTAAACGTATAAGTGTCTGCTAAATTATGTGTTAACAAAAGAATAGATGCTTCCATACTTGTAAAAGATGAATTCTTAATGTGTGAACGAAATGTAAGTGCAAGCTAACAAAGGAAGATGAAATAAATAAATAAAAGCTATAGCGCCATGCATGTAATTACAAGTTAGGCTCTTAGGCTCTCCAGCTAACCCAAACTTTTAATGATCTATTTTGCTTAGCACACTAGGAATAGTTTTGAATTTAAGTTCTCAAAGTCTAGTGTGTCTAAGTTATTAACATGTAGGATTTCAGTTGGGTGGCAGTGTTGAAATGCTTGTCTAATGGCACAAGCTTGTACATTTGAGTATATTTTGCTGGAGAGCAGAGGAAGTGAAAATTAATTGTAGAATAACTGCAAACGATATGAAAGATTTTGATGAAGTGAAACAAAAAGTCAATATTTAAAATGTTTTAGATGTTAGTTGTTGAACTAATTTCCCTTCCAGATGCCTGGAAACAGATGAAAGTATGATTTTGGATGTAATGAAATGACTGCCCCTTGACTTCTCCGTCTGTAAAATTTATTTTGTAAGCTTAGATTGCAAATTTTCTTAATTCTAAAATGTTGGCTCCAGTTAATTTAAAATTTAAGATCTTACCAAGGTCGTTAAAAACTTTCGTTCCGATTACTTAAATTCTGGCTCGGAAACATCTGAGGCTCCTTAATGTCAATTAACCAGTTATTTCATGTTTTAAATCTGTACTGTCACTTCTCCCTTTCATTTTCCCTTCAGAATGAAAATTAGTTCGCATATATTTAAGGTTGGGTTTTAGATTGCAAGACACAACGTGGCCACGTTGCTATCTTAGATAAGAGTTCTTGTCTTCGACCTTGCGTGACAATTGCCAATAGTTGAATTCCAAGTCATTTAAGTTTTTCGGCAACTTCGCATTAAATTGATTGTGTAGCCTGTGAGTGTTAATTTATTTGAATTTAAGTTATCTCGCCACAAATAGTTTGCTGAGCTGGAACGACAAAGTATGTTTTCTGTTTTAATTTAGTTTTACATCCTTCTCCAGTTGTCTTTTACGTTCTTCTGCAGTTTCAGTTGTTACTTAGTGAAAATTTACTTAACTTCTAACTAGAGTTTACACACTTTGGATGACTGCTAAGCGCACTAAGCTCTACAGCATATCAAAGGCTATTTCTTCCCCCCCCCGATATCCGCGATTGAAATGCCTTTTCAATTTCGTTCATAAACTCCTACTCCATGCAATGTAAATATTGAATTAAATGATGAAAATCGGCAATCTTGCGTAAACAGTACAAAAACAAAAATACACTTTTAAAGGCATTTACAGAAGTCACCGTATGAATGAAAATTTCCTTGCGTCAGCAGTAAGTTAGAAATAAAACTACAGAAAATTAAAATATGTAAATACCATTTCTTTACCCATGCGTAATAAAGGAGGAAATCAAAGCTTCTTTCTATCCTATTATAACAGGCAATAATATACACTGTAAAATATTACTAGTTGTCATAAAGGAAGGGATTAATATGAAAAGTGTCTCAATATTAACGCAAGATTTGAATTTGCCACCATTCGAGCAGTAAAGTGTTGGCAGCCCTATTTAAAAAACCATTTGATACCTGATAGTTTAGAGTTATTAGTAAAGAAGCATTACACAATAGAATAACGTGTTTTCATTGTTGAAAAATATTTAAAAAATAATGAAAGTCTGGCGGGCACAGTTCGAAAATTTCGATGAAGCCCGTTTTCACCCTGATGACTTTGTTAATCGTCAAATTTGCTGCATTTGGGGTTCAGGAAACCCACATGGGATTGTCGAAAAACAAATACATCCTCAAAGTGTCACTGTTTGGTGCGGATTTTGGGCTAGCGGCATCATTGGACTATAAAGCTGGTCAAGCAGTGAATGTTACTGGTGCTCGATATCGCGATATGATAAATGTTCGCGATATGTTCTTTCTGCATTAATTGGACGATATTGATGTGGACGACATGTAGTTTCAACAAAACGGTGCCATATGCTATACAGCCAGTGAAACAATTCAATTACTGCATGAAGCATTTCCTGGCCGTGTACTCTCTCGTTTTGGTGATGGGAATCGGGCCCCTAGATCGTGTGATTTAACACCATTGGATTTCTTTTTATGGGGTTATTTCTAGTCAAAGGTCTACGCCAACAAGCCCACAAACACACGTGCATTGAAGGAGGAACTTCAACTCCACTTCAACGAAATTCAGCCACATTTATGCAAAATGGTCATGGAAAATTTCGACAAAAGCGTGCGTATGTGACAACAAAGCTGTGGAGGCTATTTGCCCGCTATGTTATTCCATACATAACCCTAGCCTGTGTACTTTACGATTCAATAAAAAAATAACAATTAAAAAAGTGTTTTTTATTTAATTCAAATCTTGCGTTAATTTTGGGACACCCTTTATTAAGTTAAAAGCTGCAGCACCTTCGCAAAGGGTTCGATTCATTGTTATTCAAAAACTTTACCCTTCAATGCTTGCTATCCGAATTCGGAACGAAGCTTCATTCTAAAGGCTTTTTGAACTCTTTACGATTCTTTTTCTCCTCTTCGGACGAGATTCCCTGCTCTCTCCTGAACTTCTTATCAAGTGTCAATATTTCACTCACTGTCGTAGGGTAGAATTTTTCAGTCTTAAAGGAATGAAAATTACCGTGTTTAATCCTATACAGGGTAAAACTCGCAGTCACTTTACAAAAGGGTCGGATTCTCAATTGAAGAAACTAAGCCTGTACTTAAGCCCTTAGGATTTTATATGATAAAGGGTGTATTTTTTTTAACAGGTATTTATTGTGATTTATTTTGCAACAAGTTTCCGAAGAGAGGTTCAAAAATGCTCGAAAAATTTCTCGATTTATTTGGTATGTTTTCCATACAATCTGTTCTCCGCACTGATATATGTTTTCATTTTGCAAGCTGTAAACCCATGTTATATTGTATATGGTTGCATAATATGTGTATTCTCTTCTAAATTCAATTAGCATTAATTTATTATACAATCATAGAGTTAAGACAACAGTTTTAAAGTAACAAACTTCTACATAATGAAATGATACGCAAAGATGACTTTCTCGAGTGATGAAAAAAATTCTATATTCTACCTGCTGTAGTGAAACAAGTGTCATACCAAGCACCATTCGACCCCGCATGTTGCTAGATGAACTGAATAAATCCACATAGCGGCAGCTCTGTAATTGAAAACATGAAAAAACTAAGTGAGATCATAATACAAAAAAAAAAAAAAAAAAAAAAAAACCATAATTATTGACTGCAATAATAATAAATAACGTCGATTTAAATATTTCTTGAAATTTGTTTTACACCCCAGTTTTTTAACACGGGGAGTATTTGAAACTCTTTAGCTATTTCTAAAAAAATGAGAATTTTATACAAAACTAACAGAAATTTTAGTTTTTCAAGCTATTTTATTAAGTAACTGAGAGCTTAATAATGATAATAGTAACAAATATATCGCAACTTTCTTTTAATCTAGTGTCATAGACGCGATTCTACGTGAAAAGGCCATTTGAACGAAAATATGAAAAGTATACAAACTTATAATTCATAAAGAGCTAGGAAGTTGGCTATGTGAATATGGGGAAGTACATAATGGCTTTCCGACAAATTTGAATGTTGTTATCGCCTAAGCTGCTTATTGTTTTATGTATTACATCCACTAATTAGTCAGTCTCCAGCAATTTCGTGCCTTAGGCGTTCATTAAAGTTAATGCCTCATTAATTATATTAAACACTCGAAGTGAAATAGGATTTTATTTAGTTGTCGATAATGAAAACAACTTGGAACTTTTAAATTTTATTAACAATTATCAGTTATGTTAATATATTTCCATTATGAGTTATTCCGTACTCGTCAGCTAAAGATGTTTATAAAAATTGTGCCAAAACGCTGCGTACGTTGAAATTAGTCTCAGTTGGGTTCTGAGTAGAATTTTCGCCGCTGCGCCTGAGAGCCGCCCATGAGAACAAAAAGTGAACGTCTGACGTTAGTCACGTTCGGTGCAGAAATTCAGTCGTGTTACTGGCCGGCTCACCAGTGTTCTATATCTTCATGCAGAGTTATATTGAAATTGTAAGCCAGACAATATGTTAGATTAGCAGCGAGTTGCTTCTATGAGAAGTTGAGTTTATCGTTTTTATTAATTATTTTAGTTGTAAATCCAACCAGCATGAGGAATGAAGTTTTATGATCACCTTTACTTTTAGAATTGTATCTTGTATATGTTACCGTATATAATGCAGTTATTTCATAGAATACCTAGTTATTCCATGAAGTAACTGATAGTGGCCGTTAAAGTGTGTAATATGTTAATAATATGACACTTTAACTAGTTATTCTATGAAATAACTAGGTATTCTATAAATTAACTAATGAGAGACAGTTAAAGTGTAAAATAAACAATTTATCTAAAATGAAATAACTAGGTATTCTATAAATAAACTAATGATAGACAATTAAAATGAAAAAGAAGCAATTTATCTAATTTATGCAGCGTATAAATGGTATTTATGGAAATGTACCATAAAATCATTTGTTACAACAAGGATTACTAAAATGACACTTGGAATTACAAAGAACATTATTTCTAAAACAAAAACATTTTTTGTTGACACACTGGGTTTTACATGACATTTTTTAAATCCCTGACCAGTACCTAAACTTTGAGCTGTAGCAACCGACCGGAGCGATATTTCTACATCCGGTACTTCTTCGATTTTAATTAATTTTTGTTCGCAGACACTGAACTGGGATCGGGAATATAATTGTTTTATGCGGCCGTTTCTTGTGCCCAATTGGAAAAGTCCTTTTTCGGTTATTTTTATGGTGATAGCTAAAATAGATTTGGCATCACCTTTTCCTCTGTCAACTTCAGGCACTGGGACACGGACGGTAAACGCCACAGAGGCTTCACAATGAGATTTATCCGACATTAATTTCATCTTTTTCGCTTGAATTTCTAAACATTTTTTAGACTTTTCTCTTTCTCTTTGAACATTAAGCTCATTAAAACACAATTTGCAGATTTTCTGCTCAACTTCATCTTCTGAAACATAATCTTCTGAACATAATATATGGACAGGCTCCATACATTTGAAGCAAACTATATCTTCACTGCATTCTTTTAAACAGACAACACATACTTTTGTAATGGAATTATTTAATACTGTTTGTTCAACTATTTTTTTTTCATTATCAGGTTGAGAAGAAACATTCATTGCAGTCAAAGTATTTTGTATTTGATTTTCGTCGACCAACGAATTAAGTGCTTCCTTCGGAATGGCAGTTGTTGACAGTACAACTCTTAGCTGCGCAACCAAACATAGCCTCGTAGGGGGACCTTTTAATACCAGAATGGAACGCTCTGTTCTTCATAAGCTGGATAAATTTTAACCCGTTACTCCACGAAGTTGACTGGTTGTCTTGCATCTAAGTCGTCAACATATTTTCTATGTCCTGATTGGCTCTCTCAACATTGCCTTGGCTTTGGCTATGTCTTGGTTTGCCATGCTCGATCTTAAGCTCTGGCCAAGTTACTTTTAAGTCATCAATAAGTTTGTTACAAAATTCTCTTCCATTGTTCGACTGCAATATACATGGGGCTCTAAACAACAGGAATATATCAAGCAACAGTCCTGCAACTTCCTGCTCTCTTTGTTTGAAGAGGTCTTAAAACCGCAAACTTTGTAAGGTGATCTTGATAAACTAAAATAAATTTATAATTTCCATTAGGTTGTGATTGAAAATCTATAAGGTCAACCTGACATCTTGAATTCATATGTGAAAAAATCATGGGCTTAACAACAACACCTATTCTGCCCGCTTTGCGTTTTTGTTGACAAGATTCACAAAATTCAGGAAAATCTTAATATCATTTTGCGTAATAGTTTTGTAACGACTTAGTTTTGTAAGTTCTTTTATCATTCGGTCTCTACCACCGTGCCCAATAGATAAATGAGTTTCGTACAAAATGTCAAACAAAGAATCACTTGAGCAATAAAACATTACATGTGGTGTTGCATTTGTTACTGGGACTATTAATTTTTCTACTCCTTGAACTTCAAGGTCATCGTAATGTTGAAGTAAACAATAACCACGTGGCGCTTTCTTATCTGATGTTTATCTTATCTGATTTCTTTACATCATCTTATCTGATTTCTTTACATCAGCTATCAAACTTAATAATTTTTCACGGGTGAGCAAAGAACTTTTCTCTTTCACATCACGCTTATTTAGTAAAGATTCAAACTTTTCTTTCATTGAAGCTTTTTTTTCGTTATCACTTAAAGAATTCATTGTTCAAGGCAATTTAAGGTCTTAAAAATAATTGCACTTTAACGTAAGCAAACTAAATTAACGTAATAACAAATGACTAAATTATAAAACTTAAAAAAAATAAATGTATCTTAATACCTGATACGAGGAAACAGTATTTGACGAACAGCAGCCGGCACTGTACGTGCAAGCAAGCAATTAACCGGAATGAACTGGCGCCAACACTTTAAACAAGTTCTCTTCCTATGGCCTGGAATACTAGTTCATAAATGCAGTAGGAGTGGAAGGTAAATGTATTTGTCGTTGACATTTTGAGAGTATGGCAAAAAAGTATTCTCGTTGTTTTATGCTTTGGTATTTTTGCCGTCCTTCAAAAATTATTTTATTTGAATTCGAAATTAACGTTTTTTTTTACCCCGCTACTTTCCATATTGTTAAACGAAACGTAAATGTACCTTATACTAAAAAGCGAGATATATGATATAGATTATTTTACACTTTAACGGGCTGCAGATCTTTATTCTATGAAATAACTAGTTAAACCATAAAATGCAAGAGAGTTTTACACTTTAACGGACACGATAAGTTATTTCGTGGAATAACTAGGTATTCTATAAAATAACGGATTTCATACTTTAACGGTAACATATACATAAGGAAGAGGCGATAGCTCATTCAGGAGAAGCCATAACTCGTCACCCAGCAGCTTATAAAATAGTTAAATGTAGAAAGCCTCAAACCATTCATGAAGAACTTATTTTGCCAGCTGCGATTGAGATTGTAGAAACCGTGCTTGGAAATAATTTTGTCAAACAACAATAGTCCATACCTATATCAAAAGACACTGTTGCCCGTTGAAATGGTGATACAGCTGAAGATGTATAGCATCAGCGTTACGGAAAGCTGCGTGAAAAATTGTTTTCAGTTCAGCTTGATGAGGCAACAGATAGCAACAAAAATGCTCATCTCCTTGCCTATATTTGACGTTGTAAAAGTATGTTAACATTAGAACTACTTTTAGGCAAACCAACAGAACTCAAAGCAACAGCACTCTTACTATTTGTTATTTTAAATGTTTTTATAAACGAGGTAAACATAAGTTGCCATTGGCAACACTGAAAAATTGCTTCAGCATGTGCACCGATGGTGCTCATTCAATGTGTGGAAGATTCCAAACTATACAAGCACTTGTGGAAATAAAATCTGCACAGTGTCTCTAGACACATAGACACATAGCATGATCCACAGAGAAGCTCTTGGTTCAAACGAAGCGACTCCTGGTCTGAATATTATTCTAACGAAGGTTGTAACCTTAGTAAATTACTTACAGGTGAGGCCCCCTAAAACAAGAACATTTTCTGCACATCTTAAAGTCATGAATGCACTGCATTCGGAGTTATTATTTTATTGCGAGGAAAGCTACTAATCACGTAGGAAATTTTTGCAACGTGTTTATGAATTATTGCATGAAACCCCCATTTTTCTAGAACAGGAAAATCCACCGAAAGCTGAAACGTTTCAAGGTGGCTTATTTGTGATGAAATTGAGCTAACTGTAGATACACTCGAGCTTATCTTGAATCTTCAACTCCAAGAAGTAAAAACACATATGTTGGATTCGAGAAAATGTTAATTTTTTGAAAAAACTGGAATTGTGTAATAGAAATACAAAACAAAAAAAAAGTTTACAAATAGAGATGACTATGTTGAAACTTAACGTGGCTCAAGAACAACATGTTAATGTTGTTTTGTAACCACTGAAAATCCTTTAACCATGCTGGCAAAGAATTTTAAAAGTATTTCCTTGCAGGCGACAACTTATTAGGAAGTTGCGAGTAGGTAAGGGATCCATTTCAAAATACTCCAGAAGGTCTACACTGTCGAAGTGTTGAAGGTA